GAAAAATGAAAATCAGATTGGATCAGATTTTATGGAACACTAGTGTAGAGACAGCCGGGGTTTGTTAGTTGGGGGTTTTATAGGATGAGTTTTGTTGGCAAATGATTGGGGGTTTTTTGGGTCAAACACATATTCAGTATCTTTAACGAAAATGGGTCTGACTGGTTTAGAAGGAACGGAGTAATTTTTGAATTGGGCTGGTTTAAATCTTTGATATAGATTTTGTGTTTGACGATCTTGGGGTGCAGTACGTTTCTTTCAGCATGAATGAGAGTCATGTCCAAGCGCAGCACAGTGCGCACATAGTTTTGTGTCAGGTTGAATCCATATAAGTCTCTTGTCATCTAAAACTATTTGATCTCCATTTATCGCAGTAAATAGGTTTTGCTCAGATTTGAAGTGAACGAAAGCATATTGGAGATTTTGATAGTTTGAATAGGCTTTGAGAATCACCCAAGTTATTGCATTGACCGCTTTAGCGATAGGTTTTAATTCTCGACCAAAAGTATCTTTGGGTAGATTAGTAATTTTGAGGGTGAATTTAGATTGAAGTTTAATTTCATTGACGGTGACTGTACAAGGGTGTACACGCACAATATCTTTAAGAATAAATTGTCCTTTGATATTATTGAATACGGTCAAATCAGTGCCTTCAGCATAGGAAATGGTAGCTTGTTGCCATAAATTTTTAGTAATCATTGAACATCTTAGAATATTCTCATATTTAGCGAATGTCGATCTGATTATGTGCTCGGATGTTGAAATAGGGATCTCAGTTATCTTAATCGTTAGTTCTAGATTAAACCTGAATTGGGTAAGGCAATCAAGGGATTTTAATTTTAACTCTGCCATATCTGGAAACTTAGCATGAAGTGCTTTGTCTGCATCTAAACTCGTGGAAAAACCAAATCAGACAATTTTTAGCATTTTGTTGACAGGGTCTTGCTTAACTGCTGTATCAATAAACGATGGAAATTCAATGCCATTGAATATCTCACAAACACAGTTGATTTTTTCCTTATTTGATTTTCTGGGAAGGAAAGTCTTTGCGACGCAGCAAATGTAGAATGACAAAGCATCACGAATGCGTTCAAAGAAGAGTATGTTGGCGAAGGAATTACTTTTTCTGAGTAAGTTTTCAGAGAGGTCGTGAGCTTGGTCTTTATCTATATCACTTTTGTCTTTATGGGCAACAACCTCAATAATATTATCGGTTGAGGTGACTGGTAGAGGGTCAACTTCCATATTTTCTTTCGAAACAGAGGTGACGTTTGAGTTTTCAATATTTTCATTATCAGTTGAACCAGAACGGTTTAGAATAGTAACAGCTTTCTTTTGTAGGGGTTCTGAGGATTTATCATCAACGGGCGAGTCAGGTCGACTACGAATGTTACGAGTACCTTTCGGGTTGTTATTAAATTTTTTATTTTAAGTTACTTTTCCCATAGTATTTTGAGGGGAGTGGAAAAGAGTTTTTTTTTTTATTTTTATTTTTTTTATTTTTTTTTTTTTTTTAAGGATATCCTGACGAAATTTAATATAAATTAATAATACCAATTTCGTGTAAATTAATAATCTACATTAAAATTTCTTATATAGTAAAGTTTAGGCATAAAAATTTTTTTAAGCATACTAGCTACCACAAAATTGATACTGGATTCCGATTCTAACAAGCTAAATTTTATTAAAATTAGACCAACTGATTAGAAATTATTACACTAGCAAAAATCAGCAAATTATTATATAAAAAGTAGCTGAACCCCTTTTATATAATAATTTTCCAATTTTTGCTACGCGATAATTCCTGATTAGCTGGTCTGATTTCAACAAAATTTAGCTTGTTAGAATCGCTGTATCAAGGAGAATCAAAATCCAGTATCAGTTTTGTGATAGCTAGTATACTTAAAAATTTTCTATACCCAAACTTTAATATATAAAAAATTTTGATATAGATCATTAATTTACATGAAATTGGTATTATTAACTTGATACTAAATTTCGTCAGAATATCCTTCAAGATTTGGGCTTTAAAACAAGTATAAAATCATTATTCTAGTATTTGTGATCGATGTGTTATAGCCTTTCAAAGGTAACCAATTACACTTGCATTTCTTTTGATAGCCACTATATATGGGACCTTTGCAATAGAAAAGGGGGAAACTGCCAGAAAAAATCAATTTTACTTTTATATGCCAAATATGATTTTTAAGTTAAAATATGTTCAGATTTAGCATTAACTCAATTTTTATTTTTTCCAGCCGTTTTTCTCTTTTCTATTGCAAAGGTCCCATATCATCAATTTCTTTACACTCTTTTTCTTAATACTATTTTACTCTTCTATGACTTCACAATAAATAACAGTATGATTTGGAGTATAATTACTTATTTTTATCATAATACTATATACATAAGCATTTGTAAACTCTTAATATTTATTATTTAGTGAATTATATTATATTATTAGAATTAAATGTCAGTGTTCTACTATTAAAAATTTTTGAATAGTAAAGGCTTTAATAGAATTCACCATAACACTAATTTCATATAATATAATATATTAGTTTTTTATTAAATTTAAGGCTAAAAAATATTTAACAATTCATTTTTTAATATGACAAAATATTATTATTTTTTTTATGAAAACATGAAATAAATATATCAAAGATTTTTGCAAGATTAAATATGAAAATTTCATAAAAATCATCATGAATAAACTTATAAATCAATATGATTTTTTTTTTGAAATAGATTTTAATCTTTACATAAATCTATTATTGTATTTATAGAATTCATTATATTATATTTAAAAAAATAAAAAAAACAAGTATGAGAAAATAATAAAATAATATTTAACTTTATATTTAAAATTTTCTATACAGAAAAATCATTTACTCAATTTAGATTAGTTTTCTGTCAATTGTGTTAAAAGATATCAGTTTAAAATTCACTACTTCAATCATATGATTAAATGATATACTTTACTTAAAAAGGGAGTAAACGTCTATATTAACATAATATTAGGTAATACAATTAACTCTGAATATAACAAACTAGCTGTTCCAGAACGTTTTGTTCATTATAGAATGAGTTTATTATATAAAGTTTGTATTTTATAATGAACTATTCAGTATATAAAATTGACCAATAAATTTAAATATAATTAGTTATTTTTATTATATTTAAACTATTACATATAATATAAGTATTATATTATAATTGACAAACAAGAGATTCTTTTATCAAAAAAGAAAGTAGTATAATTTTTTAAGCAAAAACAAAAAAAAGTGTTTTTTCTTATTTTCTTTCTAAAAAAAATTATCAGCATTTTTTTAATTATTTGTAAAAAAAATAATTTGCTGAATATGTTAATATAATTAGAAAAACTTTATAGTATTTTATATATTTTATATTAAAAGAATTTTTGTATTATATTATAAAAGTTTACATGTTAAAAACAGGTTGCATAAACTTAGCGTGATAAAGATGAGTCAAGATTTATATACAAAGTTTCAGAATAGTTAGTGTAATATTTTGATAAATTTGATTTACATAGCATCATCATCAAAAAATAATAGCTAGATTTTATTTGTTGGGTATTTAGTATTAGAGTTAAGGTTTAGATTAGGATTAGGATTAGAGTAGAATTAGGATTAGTTTAAGGGGTTAGCAAATTTATCACATCGTATCACATTTTAGCCGTTCTTCAATTTACTAAGTATTCTGGGGACTTAGAAATTATTTTGAGAGGAAAATGCTATTGTCACAATTGTCACAATTATATGTCACCCTAATAAGTATATGTGATTCAGTAAATAAAAACTGACTATCATTTTTTGGTGGTAACGCTAGGGCTATTGATAAATTTAAATATATTACGTGATAGTTTGTTATATCAAATATATAGTTCAATATATCTGTTCAAATATAATAGGTTCAGATGCGGTATATAATACTTTATTATTTAAATTCAGTATATCCAGCATAATTAATTATAAAAAATTTAATTCTGTAACACATGGTTCAGTATAATAAGATTTTGGTATAAGCAGATTCATTATATTCAAAATCGACTGTATTTGTCACTGTTATTATATAATATTTTATTTATATTATTTATTTTAATAAAAAAAATGTAATGTGTTTTTAATTGAAATTAAAAAACTATATATAGAGGTAATATTTGCAAGAATAAAGATTGTGAACATAATAGTAAATTAAAGTTTGAAATATATGAAATTCAGGAAGATTTTATTTTTAACAAAACTTTTTAATAAAAATCAGAATTTTTAAAAAAAATATTGTTTAAAAGAAAAAAAAAAAGTATATAATCTAATATAATTATAATTATTAATAAAATGGAAATTATAAAATAATGTTAATTTAAAAATAAAAAAATTATAAGTTTTATAAAAATTTTTTAAAAATTTTCTAATCTTCTCATAAAAATCATTGGTATTAGAAAGTTTGAAATTGAAAGAATTAGAAGATTCTAATAGTTTTTAATTTTAAAGTATAATATTTTTAGAAGTATAATATCTTCAAATACTAAAATAAATACTATATACTAAAATAAATATTATTTAATAGTCTAGATTCAGTCTTAATTATAATTGTATGTAAATTACAGGATTTTCATAAAAACTAAGTCAGTTCTATTTACATATCAGGACTGATAGATCTAAAACTTTAACTGAACTTTAACTGACTTTCATACCTTAAAAATAAAATAGAAAAAATTTTCCTTTATTATTATTTATTAAAGTATTAACTACATAAAAAAAGATATTTATACTATTAAATTTATTTAAATTGCTAGTTATATTTATTTAATAGAAAAATCTTTCAACTAACGTTAATTCTTCTTACAATAAACTAAATATTTCAATATATTTAATGTTAATTATATTCTTTTATTATTATTATATTACTAGTTTTATTAATAAGCCTTTTATTTAAGTTAAAATAGCAGAAATTGCTTTACTGTATGCACTGTACGATTTTTAAGTATCGTTTTTAAATTTTTGTGATACTAATTCAATATGCCCTTCATCTGTCTTAATATTACACTCAATATTTTCAATTATTCTTTCCTGCATTGCCAAATTTTTCAAACAATCATCATCAGCATAATGTTCCTTAATTATAGCTTGATAAAGCAGTCTCTGTGGTGTACAAAGGAATTCGGCAAGTATCCAACTGATAGGTATACTATCTGAACAATTTTCAAAAGAATAAAGACTTACACAAGAGAAGATTATTAATGGTAATATAATAACAGTAGCATAAATTAAGATAGCTGCAAGTGGGACAATGGTTAGATCCTGATTCACTGCAAGCGTATAAGAATACCCTTCCCCTTCCCCATTTTCTTGTACTATACCACTAAATGAAGCAATAGTTGCTTGAGCCCACTTTTGTGCAAATGCATTAGCGAGCAATGTACTATTTCCTTTAAAACTTATATCTTCAATATCATTTATCACTCGCCCAACCATTTTAGATGATGTTGATGCTTGACCAAGTGTAAAGAATTGTGAACTTGTCAAGTTTCTTAGTGGGGACGCTTTTAACACTTCAAGAGTTATGTTATAACTAATTATTGAAGAAAAAATTTGGCAATATAATAGAAATGAAAGGTCGCCATGTACTTCTGCTACGAATTCGGAATCATAATTAGTTGAGAGCTCTTTAGCATAACGTAAAGTGACAATTGCATGTAGAGGTCCAGGACCATGCATTCCTTCAGTAATATTTACATTGAATGATTGCGTTACGGTATTCCCTGAAGCATACCAGAATTCTTCAGGACAACTATAATTTGTCCTAGCACCATATCTGGCCTTTAAATTACATATGCTACTTATGGGTATACATGAAGGTTGTAAAAATACACCAGATCCGGAATATGAATAGGTTTTCTCCAAAGGTGGAGATTGTATAAGGTAAATTCCATCATCACTTTGCCAAGTTACTAAAGAATCACTCGCATTTAGATATACTTTTAATACTTTCTCATTATTCTTCGTTCCACGTTTTCTTTTTACACAATTATTTTCGTTATTTGTTTCGGTACAATTGGTTGCTATGTCTAATGCTCTAGTACTTGGGATAGTTAATCCAGGCAATTGTTGAGAATTTCCAATAGCAGTTATATGAAGATACAAATCAGCTGCTGATGCTAGATATTGCCATAATAAGACTAAGACAATAATTATAGCAAGCTTACGAGTTTTACCAGTACTAAAACAAGTCGTTATAGTACAATATAAACTACGTGACATAGATGCTTCCATTAATTTGCTAATATTTGTACCTGACCCATCAAGTTTGGATATTCGGCTTAAGACAATCATCCCTGCTAAAATAGCTGGTATCATAAATCCTATAATAGATGATGTTACTCTTGTAATTACTGTTACAATAGTCAAAAAATAACTGACACGCAATTCCCATGAGACGTTGAAATCCGACGTTATTTGACCTCGCATTCCAATAAAGAATGTTATTATTAATATTAAGATTGAAATAATCCAACCAAAGATAACACCTTGAAATATTTTTGAGCCGAAATATTTTGGTTTTGATATACAAGAAATATCTTTTTCGACAGATACATCATTCGATTGATATGAAAGCTCCTGAGAGTTTTGAATGTTCATTTCTCTTTTAAACCAGAAATATTAAAAGAAATTAACTAACACGATTAATTTGTCAAAGGGAAAAAATATATTTGAATACTTTGAACTTGTATATGCGTGATGAGTGGAACATTGCGTGCGTGTTCATACATATTGTGACTCTTAGTATACAAATTAAATTTTTTTTACAGTAAAATTTCATTCGAACAGAAAAAACACGTTTTTTTTTTGTTTTGAATCTTCTATGTACCAAAACGACCTTCTTTCAATATGAAATAAATTTATTTTTCCCAACTTTTTGAAATTTAACCCCAAATTGTTTTGAGCAGCATAGGTAAAGTTTGATATTATTGGCTGAAGATCATCGATTGTGATTGGTTGGTTAGATTAGTTAAATAATTACGCGTGATTTTTTTTTTGTATCACATTTAATTATTGCATATATCGCAAATGGCAAAAAAAAAAAATGAAGGTCCGTGTTCTATACAAAATTGTAATAAACAAATAGGCCGCTTTCGTCAATTTA